TCAACCACGCTGCGTAGCTGATTCCCTTCCATCATCCAAACTATATGAGGTGCTTTTGATTATGCCTGAACATCTTATACCAGGGTTGTTACGCTCAACAACAGCATTTCACAAAGTCGGTTAATTAAAGGCCATTGGTTAATTTTTATCGCTTTTAGGTTCTGTACAGCAGTAAGTCATATCAAATGCAAAACAGAGTGATGATTATAATCTTAGTAATCGCTTACAATACCCGGTGGAGAGCAAGAGCCTTATATAATAAAAGTATTACTCGTAAAATATGGAAGCATGGAATATTTCTTAGCATTCTTTTCCTGTCTCTTGTCAGTTGTTCGGAAGCACCTTTAGTGAGTGTCCAGAAGTAGTCGGACATAAAATGACAAATCACATGTTAGACAAAGTACTAAATAAATTGCCTGCAGTAGTAGTAAATGATTGGTAGCGCCTCGGTTTGTACATAACTTTTACGTTAACAACGCGAAAACGGCAGTCTTAGAGTCCACCAAAGAGGCCAACCTGGCAGCCAGTTAATATCCCGTGGGACACTGCAAGGTGTCATTGACAAGTAGAACCATAATGACCTATAGTGTCTGGTGGAGCAATGCATCCCATCTCCATCTGGAGAGCCAGGGACTCCTCAGAAAACGAGTAGCAGCCGAACTCATGAGCGTCGACCAAGTCTCAGAACTGCTGTTAACACTTACCACCCATCTTGTAACTTCGAAGGCAGTCTCTGGTTTTTACACAAACGCGCAAGGCATTTTTTAGCAAACTGATAGAGCTTCAGGTGCGTCAGGTTTCGGTGTGTGGGACCCAATCATGGTAACCGAGATATAGTTGTGTGAAGCGATCCCTGACGCTGAAATCGTACCAGTCGGAATATCTACTCTGGGCAACGATAGACCGAATAGAGGAGGTGGGTAGTGCTCTATTACTGTTGCGAGCTACATCTTGATCACGTCGACGGCCCACGAGTCCAGGTTGTCTGCGCGATTTAGTGCTATCTTCATCCAAGAGGTGCTGACACGTGTTTAGATGTCGTGTATCACCCTCCATCATCCACTTCAGAAATGGTCAATCGCCTAGCCTCCACTGTGAGAAATATATTCGTTTAGTCATACAGCAAAATTCTCCTGATGGGAACTTCAATGTTCAGGCCCTAGAAACCCCAGCCTGTCTCGATAAACCCTTCAAAATGGTATTGCCGGAGCCAATCATTGGATTATCACTATACAACCATGTTACTGTCCCCACAAGCCTAGGATGAGAAACAAAACAAGTATCCTCGTCGCAGTCACCAGCAAGGAGCTTATAATCGAAACGTTATCGACAAATAGTCCGTTGGGCCGAAGCGATTATGCAACCAACTTGTTCAACTACATCGGTTATGCAGTATCCCGCAGAAAAGGCTAACGACTCTCAGCTCAGTACCGAGTACGGCGTTCTGACCCCGCTTATTAATGCAACCAACTGGTCATTTCTAGCTGCACTATCTTCTGATGTTGCCTGGTGGGATTTGGCTCATCCATTCAGTAAGTTAGTAACCAGTGCTTCAAGGAAAAGTCCTTTGAGCGCCATGAGAGCAAAGCCACTCATACGCAACAGGACGCGGGGGTGTATTAACAATAGGGGTTTACTCTGGCAATAATACAACTTGTCACTAGGAGCCGAAATATAGGAAGCCCGCACCATCGAGCGGAATCGCTACGTGAACGTCATTCGCGAGGATAAACTAAAGATCGACGGAATGTAGCGGAGAAATTTCGTTCAAACCCCAAGCTCCTTTACAAACAAGTTAGCAAACTCCGTAAAACGCAGCGAGGCATTTCTTTCCGCCAAACGTAACGTGGAGCAACAAGAACGGCAACAGAATTAGCCAACACCCTATGTCAGTAATTCGCTCCAAAGTTCCTGAGTACGATTTCGTTGCCTGTGCTGTTCACTCACGATCCACCACCGCCATGTCTTAGCCATATCGTCTTTACGGCCGCGGGGGTTCTAAAATTGCTAATTTCTCTACGTGAGCATGCTTCCTGGTGTTGGTAATATCCTCCCGAAGGCATTGAAGTTAACTACATTGAATTTATGAAACAGCAGTAGCAAGTTATGTTTTAGTCTTTACAAACAAAGCCGATCGTGATGGAGTTGCTGACACACCTCCAGTTAGTACTTGGAAGTTTGCATAATAGGAGTTTGGTAAATGACCACTAAAAGTTTCCTATCGCTGTTCTGTCAGATTTCCCCATGTTGACCACAGATGATGCTGTCAGGATGGGATGAGTGAGGATTTTGAAATTTCAACTCTGGATGAGATTGTATGCACCTTATGAGATAAATTAGCCACGGATTTTCTGGCTCATACCATCTGCTACCCAATCTGTTCAGAAAAGCTAAGGGCACAGGTACATCTGATTCCGAGGTGGCGAGTAGACCATTGTAGACAGATTATTTCATGTTAATTGCAATAGATCCTTCGGGTATCAAATAACCGCGACACATGATACTTGATTTTTGTGCTGAGAACTTCATTATCCACTTGTCTCGCCATGTCACAAGGGAATGAATATTATCCTGAATGAGTAGTAGTACATTCTAAGGGTCAAATCGTCGAAACTGGTAGGCAATTCTTATATCATTGGCAAATAAGAATCGTACGCCATGTTAGATAAACCGACTGATGTTAGTGATATAAAGAAAGAAAATTAACGGGCCGAGCGCACATCCATGTTTAACCCCGATGGTACTTGGATGTGGGGAAGAGCGCTCGTCGCATGAGGTGACTATTTGAGAGCGACCGTTTGCTTATGAGAATAGCTTACCGAGTAGCTGGTCCTGGACGCCGAGAGAAGCTCTTTTTAGCAGTAACCGTTTGCATGTCCAAGAATAAAATGAAGATTGCATCTCCTGAGTCAATGGAGTCTGATATGTAGTTCAAATAATGCAGCTAGCTGGTTGTGTACGATCGCTTGTCAAGGAAGGATGCAACGTCATAGCACCAGAACAACATCGATTCCGCTAGATTCGGTCTTGCACCACAAAGCTGCTATTAACTCGCTCCAGGTGGACTGAAATCATCAACAGTTGTGTGTCTGTTGATGCAATTCACCTGAGGTTATCAAAGGCGTTCGACCGTCCAAACCACCACATCCTCATTCATAAGCTTTAGAATCGCGTACTTGGTGACTCAGTCCTCAGTTGGATAAACAACTTCCTGATTTAACGACATCTGAATGTGAGATCTCGTAACGCTATTTCTGACCCTGTCAATGGGCATCGCGGAGGCTACAGGCCTCATTACTTAGTGCACGCCTATTCCTGATTCACATAATCGATCTTGCGAGTGTGCAAACTTTTAAGTTCGTACACTTCGCAGGTGGTTCCAACCTAAGGCGGGCTGTCAAAACAACGGACGACCACGTAGCACTTCTGGACAACCTTGCCAAGTTATACAAATACGCGACTCAAAAGTTCCTTCATTTCATTTCCATCTAGTGTAAGTCAATGAGCTTACGCCATCAGTCAACTTGCGAGCACAGGCTGGAGGATGAACTTTTGTGACGCGCTTCCACTGAATGCGACCTAAGAATGATAGTACAAGAGGATCTCGGCGGTTCACCTCAGGCCAAAAAGGCATCCAAACTGCCAATCAACATCTTGATCTTTTGCGGAGGGCATTTGGGCGTTTTGAACCTTTAGTGTTCTGTCAGATGCTCAAGGCCACATTAGGAATACGCCATGTGTTTGGCACTCTTGGCACAAGCGTGACTACACCGCACTTGAAATGCCACGACGAAGGACGATCAAGAACGTACAGGTTTTATTTCATCTCCCTTACTAATTAAGGCTGAAAAACCTTGGGGTCAACAAGGGACAAAATCGACGCTTGCGTGGTGATTTGATGGTGATATATTTGATCCTGAGGACTGCGAACCATGCTTGTCGTCACCTGAAATTGAATCACAATACCACTCTAAATGGTCACCAGCTAAAGATGGCCACACATAGTACAGCCACTTGGAATGCCATCGGAATTTCTTTTCACTTCGTGTGTGCCCATCTTTGAACCCCCTCCTTAGTTACGTTGTTTCTTCCCCCATATTAACCGTATACAAATGACTTCTCGATGATGCATGCATGCAATTACATTACGCCAAATGATCGTTTATGTTCATGAGTACACCTAATACTACCGACTAACATCCTCCTTTTCTCTTCTTACATCATTTCGTAAACGCTGTTACTGTGGAATCTCGTTAGGATGTACCCAAACTGGATCTGCGTATCCCATCGGTCCAAGGAAGCGAAGCATGAGCGTCATTATTTACTTCATTTATTTTTCCCACGGATCACGAGAAATATATAACTGCTCCATGTATTACTTCGTGTGTGCCGATTTCAAACTGTCGTTATGCAGCAGTGCAATTGTAACGGTCGATGCTGACGATTCACTTATCCTTTGGTTCTTAGTTTCCACTCCAACCATCCTACAGAACTTGTGAAGCACATGTTTATTGTTTAATTTATTGACACCAATTTTCTGCTCAGTTGCGACTTCAGTTAAAAGTTCTCAGGGTTAATCAGGGTGATATAGGCGTTGTTATTTTTCTCAATCCACATCTTTACAGACGTACTGCTTCGCAGCCATTCTAACCGTTTCACGGAGTTTAGAGCAATCATCTTGTGTTTGTGGTAGACGCCTCTGTTTTTGGGTCGCCTTCGATCATCAATTTGACGTCAACGCAATGGTGAGGAAAGATTGTGTAACCCGGAGTAGACCACAACAACAGCTCACCTTCTCCTGATCTGTAGGAAAGAGTCTAAACATTCCGTGTTGAAACGAGTGATTCGATATTTACATTCTTCATACCCTCCCAATCGTGTAACAAAACTCTCGTTCTCCAACAGCCAATCATAAAATTATCCTTGCTGGACGAATTACGTGAAATGAAGACGTGTATAAAAACACGTCCTCCCATCTTAACTCTTGTGACCCAACAGAAATGTACGACAGCTTGGTTTGTGTGTTGGTTGTGTCCTGTGTTCACTTTGTGGTTCACTGTAAGTTGCGCTAACAGAACACTTTTTCAGTTGTTACTCGTTGCCTTTTGATATTCTGGTTCTTGTGACTGGCTTGTTTGTACATTGGCTGACTATCTACAAGTTTACACGACCTTCCATGTTTGAGAACTGCTTTTTTTGAAGTGTAGGCTTGTTTAGGTAAATGGAACGCCTTGTGGTTCCATATCACGCCACAGGTCACCTGGATCCATTCACGCCTCAAAGCACACTTAAAAATAAAAAATAAAGATATATCCTTACTATCTCTTTGAAATTGTAATAAGGTAGCTGGAATCAGGTACTTTAATTGAGACACAGTGTTTAACCAGCTAAGCCCCAGATTAATGCAGTCACTTTCTTAAGTGTGTTATATCAAGGTAAGAATTTTATCATTTAGCAACTTACGGTGTACTAGGTTGCTATGTGAACCCGAAGCGCTACCCATATCCAAGTTTGGTCATGGGAAGTGGGGACATTTGACTTAATGAAACATCGATCTGTGGCTATCCACCGCATGGAGTAAACGAGTGGTAAGCTTCATCATTAGGTGAATATTTCCCAAGCGCATTGTTTCACAACAATGCGTTTAGCCTTTGCCCAGGCTATTGTTTCACTGCTGTCATATTCATATCAGATTTCCATCACACACATTTTTGTTGTAACGGCTTGGCTAAAATAGCTAATACTGAAAATTTTCTGAAAGTTGGCAGCTACCGTAAAGTACTCTGGTGGCCCTTACACATTAAATGTACTAAAGCATGGCGAACAGTTTAAAGGCAATTTTCGTAACCAGTTCCCCAGGAAACGTTTAGCGGAATAATGAACGCAAGGATGATGCTTGATTTAATCCCGGAAAAATTCCCTGCATATTCTCAATTGCATACTACACCCCCTGTGTGTGTAGACATAGCATCGTGAAATTGGTGCATTCGAAAAGAAAAACTAATCAAAGTGTACACTCAACCATGCACACCATTTTGTCATCTGTGCCCCGCCATCTATTTCGGTAGAAACATGATCACACGGTTTCGGCGTACCGTAAACTCGGACACTTTGTTAAGGTGTAGATTTCACGAAAGGCACATGCGGGGTCTGCACCCTGTTTGTCAGCCAGTAGACGGCGGGACACTGTTGAGGTTGGCTGCTTATATGGAACACCATTTCGTTTCATCAGCTGCGTGTTCATGGTGGCGGACGCAGTTATCTGCAAAGGTGTTTACTAACCCACACCGATATGTGTCCCATGATCATCCCAAGCAATTGCTGCATTGTCATATCCACATAGCCGACGACGCAGCAATATGCGAATTGGTAGAGGACAGTGACGGTTGGGGTTTAATCGATGGAGTAGGGATGCGATCCATTCTGTAGCTAAGCAATGTTTCCGCTGCTGGGTATACTTGGTCCACTGCGTATTTTGGGCGGGGCTGAACTAATTGGTATACAGCATCTCCATGGATTGATAGATTCAAAGTACCTTTTAATGTCAACACTGTTGGTATTCTCTCTTCCACTTTCGTATTACTCAATTGAGAAATGGAGATGAATATGTACTTGTTACGAGGGTACTGGTTATCAGCCACACCTTTTGTTCCAGTGTGACGGTAGTGTATACTTTTCTGGCCCTGATGAACAGTGTCTGTACTAAGCCTTGATTTTGCTGTTTACGGATAACCCTGTGATAGCTTGAGTACCGTCCCTTTCATGTTGGCTTACGGTGAACTGGCTTATGTCGATGGTCAATGGTATAATGCGGAGAAAAAAGCCGTGGCGAGCCGTGTGTCCTCGGATGATCGGTTAAGTGTAAGCAAAAGACGGCAAAAATAGCAATAAGAAATAGTGAACGACCATAAAGCGCAGCTATCTGGTTACATTGTTCCCGTCTGAGCAGTTTATACTTGGTTTTATATATTATCAAAAGTTATCGTCTGGGGTTTCCAGCGAAAAATGGGGGGAATTGATTTATTCTGTTTTTTCTGCCGTTTGTATAGGTCGTTTGGGTTTGGTGACATGGTGTAGTACAGCCACTGCCCCGTCGACACTTGCTTTGAACCAGGCTAACGTGGGGGCTAAAATGACAGCTTCTGAGAGGGTATTCCACGTGTGGTAAACACGCAGCGAGAAGAAGTTTCTTCGACATTCCGACTGCATTGTTCCGTCACTTTGAGACGATGACCTCTCAGTTTGTTGTTTTGAATCAGTTTCAGCAGGTGATAGCAAGGGTAATTAGTGTTATTTAAAAGTTGGTAAATTATAATTAGGTCAGCACGCAAACGCCGATAACATCTGCTGAAAATGTCAAGCAATCTGAGGTGCTGTTTGTATGGCAAGTGGCGTACCCCTTTGACATTTTTGGTCGCCCGGCGTTACCGAATCTCCAAGGCCGTGAGATGCCGCGTTAGTCACGGGTGCCAAGCTTCCCTTGCCTATCCAACATGAGGGCGTACGTAAGCGGGAAGTATTTGACGGAAAATCGATGGTTCGAATTGTCCGAAAGCTCTCTGCAGAAGCCTCATGATTTGGATCCCCTTTTTCGATGTCATTTTGGACTGTTGCGAGCGGCCGAGATCTTCCTGGACCAACACACCGAGATTATTTTCGAGAGAACACTGTTGCAACTCCTGGTCCCCTAGCTTACAGGTGTGGCATATTCGGTGTCGTAAGTGGAGTATTCTACATTTAACCACATTGTAGTAAAGGGATTTTGGACCAACCATCCATAAGTCTTGTTAACCTCCTTTTAAGTCTGAATATGGTCTTCTGGAGCTCTGATCACTCGACCAACTTTAATGTCATCGGCGTAGAGTAAACCTTTTGACTTACTTCGGCCCACTAGATCGTTGATGAAGACCAGTAATAGACGGGGCCCCAGTGTTGTATTCTACAACCATTCCTGCGAGATATTTGGGTCTCAAAGAACGGCACTGTATCATGCTGCTCACTCTCCGATATCACAATGACTTTTTGGTGTAGGCCATTTAATTTGCGATCCAGCTGAGTCAACCGATATCAATTATTAAAAATTATGAACATTACATCCATGTATCTACGGAACAACAATGTCGATCAATCATGTCTATAATCTGTCTCAGGATAGGCGGCGAAAATGTCCGCTGGTATCGATCAGAGTAAAACTGTCCACTGCAACACACTGCCGTTGGCGATATCTTTGTTCCGGAAAAGTGAAGTTGCTATTTTAGGTGCATAAGAAGTCTTTATAAGTCCGAAAGTAGAAGGTCGATTTATAGATGGTTCTGAATAACTTGGTTGCAGATTATATGAATATCCCCCTTAATAGTATACTAGTAAACGGCGAGACAATGTCGATGCTGGCTGTGCGTTCTCGCACAGCTGGATACCATTCAGAAGTTTCACTAACTCGAATGTACATCAAGGTTGTGGTTAGCGCTTGATTTTTATGCAGACTCAAATATCGCTACTAGCCATTTATTTACATTGCTTTGTGAATCATTGCCCATGGATAGAAGCAACCTCCACTTTGTACACTATTGGTAACGCATAAAGCTGCGCATCTATACGCCCCATTGTATCACGTATTTTGTGCTCGCAGTATTTACCTAATTTGCCTTTCAAAGCATATGCATTTCCACAGTCATCGCATTTTCCAGCTCCGTTTCTTTGTTAATCTAGCCAGCGTGACCGAATATGATGCGATCGTTGAATAACGTTAGGATGTTTTCCGTGTAAACCAATTTGTCAAATACTACAACATCTTGTTCTTTGTTTGGCGAGGGATATCCTTCTGTTCTAGCTGAGATACTTCACTTCCTCTATATGTTAGACCAATGATTCGCTCCGGACTTAAACCATGTGACACTCGTGACTAATTTTCTGCCAGAGTTGCAAAGTCACTAAAACAGAATCGAATATTAACCTATTAACTAGGTATTGATGTATGGAATATGAATGTTAGGAGGTGCACTTGTAGGCACTCACGTTCCATTTTTCAAGCATTGCAATTTATTCACAACCTTGTTGCAGCTTCCCTACCGCAGCCCACAATTAATGTGGTCGATGTGGACGGTGGACCCGTGATCGTTCGATGGTTCTTCCCCTATGAAGAAGGCGTAATCAGACACTACATCAATTATACCGATGGGATGAAGGAGTACATAGAGGAAGCTCCTGGAAACGAACGGCAACTGACATTACATTCCACGAGACCATGTGCTACGTACAGTGTGCAAGTATTGACTCAAACATTTAATGGGACCTCACCGATATCTGATCCGTTTTCCTTCACAACGAAGAGCTTAGGTAAGAGTCATTCTTTCAAAGCCTTCTATTCTATTTCACGGATTTATTGTGCTTCTACAGCTAAACATCATTGCCCCATTCCGTTAGGTCCTAGCAGCGTTGCTTAGTAGATGCGTAAGCAGTAGATGGTAGGCGCAGATTGTCGATGTAAGACGTGATTAGAGGAAAAGTTCTTTACTAAGAAATGATTTAGAAGTCAGACTTGACAAGCATAGAAAGTCTAACTACCTGGCAATGATACTGTTTTACAAATGTGCAACATGTTCGTTGATCAGCAGGTTAAGAATGCCTTTGGGAGTCAGATAAAGACCGTTATCCTTTAGAAGTACTCGCGTGACCACACGCGAATATATGCTCTTGCTTTGATGGCTTCATGAGCACAGTTTCGCATCTCAGCATGTAAGATACGCTGTCTGGAAAATGCTGTTCTCCTGAGCGACCTCCGTGCGCTCTGCAGTTAATCACTATCACAAAGAAGATAAGTTAGTACAGCCCCAAAATGTGGCATGTAGTATAGTAACGCTAACAGTGTCCTTAATGTCTAAAGTTTATACTGCGTTTAACTGTCCATACTTACCCGATAATTAGAAGTTCATGCGTCATCCCACTTACGAGTCACTCTTCTAGAGGAGCTGGCTTTAAATTTATCCAAATGTTCTCTACTATTCTCTAAGCAACATGAAATGCAAAACACAAATCGGGTACACAATAAATTACTTTGGACACTTGTCTAATTAAGCTAAGAACAACTCCATGTCCGCGCTCCGCTCGTTCTCATTAGCTAAACTGTTGCCACCGACCGGATTGTTTGTGCAGGAGGTGCCCGATGGAAGAATACTACATTGGGAACCAAGGAACTCGCAATATGAGGTGCTCAAATACAGGGTCATTGGTCACGGAGCGGACGACGAAGTGATTGAAGAAGATGTGTCTGGTGACAAGACGGAATTAATGTTGGATAAATTTCATCCGGAACGCGAATACAATGTTACAGTGATTGCCGAAAATTTCTGTGGTATTTCGGAAGGATCTTTGCCAATTCATATACCCAGTATCCTAAGTATGTGACTATTAATCACGAAAGTGCGTTAACACTAAACCAATTTGCTCTAAGTATGCCATAATGCAAATAGAGCATTTAACTAATTCACTTCAATTGTAATTATTTGTAGGGACTAGAGTCTCTCATTTGTCGCACGAGATTGTGATCTACCAAAACAATACAGGGTAAGGGGCTATCCTACGGGTGAGAGCATCTTGAAGTGGATCTAATAAATACGGTGAATTGTCACTAATTGCTTCGGGGTACTGTTGATCTGAGTTATTTGTGCGATTTTTGGGTGCATGTTGCAAACCATTGGTGGTGCTGCCACAATCTGATGCGTGATTATTGGCAGCTATCCATTGCATATTTACCAGATTCGGGCCGGTGGCACCACACCACTGACATCGGAAGCACCTTTGGGTATGCACGAACCGCCTAAGTTGTTCCACTGCTGCTCTGTCTAAATCACAGGAACGTGTTGCGGAGTAGAGCGAAGGTAGAATTTAGGAGCCGCACAATTCTCAGTAAATAAAAGTCGCTTTGCGGCCGCGCACGTGTGCATACAAACTCGTATGATGCAACCGACCACAGTTAGCGCGAAGTCACTAAGCATTTGATGTAACACTGAAAGAGCCCTTCTTGTCTCATGGGCACAGCATCGACAGCTAGGGCACACACACACACACACTATACATGCTAGCTAGAGGTGGGAAACACCTCAGCTACTGTGCCGCAATACCTAAAAGAAGAAAGAGAATAAAATGCAACAGGTGCAAGCCAGCTGAGCTACGGTAACGGATGGGCGTCGTTCCGGTAAGCTACTTGCCGGCTATTATGCAGCAGAAAAAATTATTTACCATACAAAATAATGAGATCGTGTTCAGAGGGGAAGGCTAATGGGGATGGGGTGGACAAAGCAACTCACAGCACGAACGCCACTGAGGTCGGCTTCTAGCCATATCAACAAGTGTATCCATCCAAACGTGTTCATCGTCTTTCGGACCCCAACCAGGGAGCCGAGAAGCTCCAACCGAAGCCAGCTCAGAAGTGAGAGTCTTCACTTCTCTCGACCGAGTCATCGCTTGGCCACCCCTCCTCTTCTTCCATCCACACACTCGGCGCGCAAACAACACACGTCGCGGAAGTCGGTGGACTGGTATGCGTAACACGTGGCCGAGCCATCGGAGCCTGATGCGTGAAATAACGGTGCTGAGCGGTTCAGTTAATTTTTCTGTGTCGTAAACAAGGCGTCGAACACGCCAGTTGCTCACGCGGTGTTCCCACCAAATGTGAGCTAAATTACGAAGGCACCGGTGGTCGAACGTAACTAGTCTCTTCTGGTCCGTTGCTTTAAGGGGCCAGGTTTCACAACGGTACAGTAGGGTCAAACGTACTGCTGCATTGAACGCTCTACCCTTCAGGGCGAGAGCGATGTCGCGCCGGCGCCAACTAGGGCACGTTGTGTAAGAATGCACACCATTTCACGCCTGTGGCAATTTTAACGATTGATTTACCCTTAGTTTTCTGGTTTTGCGAGAACAGCGCAGCGGCCACCCCTGGAGTCAGCAGAATGATATACACCTCGTACTCAGGGTCATTATAAAGATAGTGCCCTCTGCTATTACCGATTGGCCACAGAAATCGCGGGTGCTTCATTAGCCTACCCACTTCCAACACATCGTCTCAACATACACCAAAAACGGCTGAATTCAGTGAATAAACCAAGTAAATATTAGGAATATAGTTGATTTGTTGGTCGGAACGCCAAACGACGTTTATTGCAAACGTTACTTATATTTCATTGCTTATCTATCTGGACCTGTCCCACCGAGGGTGTGTGCAAACGCTACAAAAATCGGGCTTGATAACACTTCACTGACTCCATGTCAGAATGCTCACACTTTTTATAGAGCGTTTCGTATCGTAGCAAAGTAAGCGTTGACGCAATTGGTATCCTCACTAACGACGATGCTATTGTCGGTGACAATAGCAAGGACAAGAGTGATGACAGAGAGGAACATGTAAACGGAAATGAAGTTCCATTAGTGTGATCATGTTTAGTTATCAAAGAGACGATTCCCTGGTTATGCATCACTGATCGCTATTTGATCCAATTGTGTAGATTAATCAGAACAGCTTTCCAATTTGTCGGTATACAGTCTATTGAGCAACTGCACGACGGTGACTCTGCCCCTCCAAACGGAACAGGGTTGGAAGCGACAACAGTGAAAATATATCCAGTTCGAACTTGATCCCAGTGATCGGAATGATTTAGCTTTGTTCCGTGTGAATCGCAGTCCAAAAACATCATAGGCAGCAATGGTTGTTGTGTATGGCTGGTAGCGTTAAGTTGTGGAATATAAAGAGTCCAACTGACAACATGATAGGAGAAAAATGGCAACAGCATTACGCCGATACGCTGTAGCGACAGTTCGCTGCCTCGCAGACATCACCAGTTGCGCGTGGGATAGGATACTGCGAGAGTCACCCGGTCCCCTACGCAAGCTCGTACCCGCGACCTCAAATTGCAAGGCAAGCTTTGGATCTCTAAGGTTATGGGCCTTAATGGTTGGATACACTAAAATGACACCGTAAAAGTCAAGTAGCTTTCTGGCCCCGTTTCAAATTTACTACTGAAGTCAAGTGAGCAGTACTGCATTGCAATAGCATACAATTGATATTTCTCCACAGCTCTCTTCCCCAGACCAGAATACGAGGAAGACAGCTGAACTTAAATGTTTTACATTGTTGGACTACGACCATCACATCATGGCTATGTTCGTGTCAGTATGCAACAACCACACTAAGTCAGATGGCAGGAAGTAGCCACCCGGAAACCATCCACTTGGGTGCAACTACATGCGTTATGCAACAAACTACTGATAGTGGTACTTTTACCCTTGCAGTCCTTGATCCACCGATGGCATCCATCGTCCAAGCTACGGAGACCACCATCTTACTGCAGATTGAACCACCAATAAACGGCACCGACGTGAATAGTTATCTCATCAATTACACCACTCCGTATGGATACGAAATTATTCCAGGGGTGACGGATGTCTCGACGTACATCGAGTTACACAAAGGGCTTGCAAAATGCTTTAACCATTCAATTAGCGTGTATCTCACAAATGGACCAATTTACTCCCAACCAACGATTTTGTATGCGCAGCTACTATCTAACGGTAAATTTTCTAAGAAGTGACATTGTCTAATCTGCTATGAATAACTGGTTGGCCACATGCCCTGATAAACCGGGAGTCGTTCTGTGTAGTCGTTACACTTAGCATCTTACTATTCCGTTATTTCCAGAAGTCCCTAATGCGCCCAAAATTGATCGAATCAGTCCGTCTCCCAATGGATTCGTTCTAACTTGGTCCGCAGAACGAATGGGCACATTGCTGAGTCATCGTGTTTCATACGAAGATGAATATGGCACCGCCCACACAGAATGGGCAGCTGGAGCAGATCGTCAAGTTGTCTTGCGTCGTATGCAAAAGTGCCGTGTGTATGATGTTCAAATGTGGGCCGAGAACAAGTGTGGGCTTTCACCCGCGTCTGAGCTGATGACCTATCAGGTGGAACCTCCGAGTAAGTGTTTAATAACATTATGAACTTTTGAAGCAAATTATTCCATTATAATGCTTGCAAGGAACCCATACATTATCTCTCTTGCCAATTTGAGGCATACATCGTAAACCAATAATATATAAGTTCAGTAGTTACCTAGCTCCGGACAGTCGCTTGATGCGCTTGTTTAGTTCAGATTTTCCGCATGGTGTTACTTAGTTGAAGAAAACCACGGATAAACTCACTTCATGTTGTGTGCATCCGTGAGGAGATAAGAAGAAAGATATGTTTTGGCCACCTATTTTGTATGTCTGTTGGGGCAATGCTGCAGCCGATAAGCAACCACTTGTGGATACGGACACATTTTACGCTGATTGCACCTTTAGCCAGCACCGCATAGATGGGCTGACAAACAGGAAGCTGACTATCTCGCAGGGAAACTTCAAGGCTGAGGTAGTAAGACTTTGAGATGATGGACCAGCTGAAACTTTGTTCTCCTGTTCATTCTGGTGTGTGCTACACGACTGGGCGTTTAAAGGAGCTTTGGCATTCAGGTAATAGTGGTCTGGCATGCCTCAATGTTCGCACATTACTTCAGATCGGTCAACAGGCAGCACTTGCCCAAACATTAGAGACCCTCTCAATCGATGTCTGCTGCTTATCGGAGACCCGCCTGCAAGACTCGAGTTCTGTACTCACTCTGCGATCCCTTTCAGGTGACGCAAGCAGCACTTTCTCATTGCGCCTATCCGGTGACGATGCAGCTTCGAGCACTGGCAAGCCGGTGTTAGTATTGCCCTGAGTCCCCGGGCTGAAGCTGCTCTGGTTGATTGGATTCCAATCAGTAGCCGGATGTGTGCGGTCCGATTGGCTGGCTCGTTCAAAACTTCGAAGTCGCGTGGGACTAACAGGTGTCTATTCGTTATCGCTGCCTATGCACCGACAAACTGTAGCGATGACTCGGTGAAAGACGACTTCTATCGCCAACTGAACGAACTCCTTCGGCACAGAAGAAGCTCGGACACTATAGTGCTGGCCGGGGATCTGAGTGCTCAAGTTGGAAAATTATCCACAGATGAGCTGCATCTGGGCCGCCAACATGATATAGGCTCCCGGAATGATAACGGTGAGCGGTTACTTCTTTTGTGTGAGGATGCTCGCTTATTTCTTGCGAGCACTAATTTCCGACATAGCACCCGCCGGGGGGTGACTTGGCGCCCACCAGCCTCGAACCAGCTATGGACGCAAATCGATCACATTGCTATCAGTTACCGCTGGAGAGGCTGCGTCCAGAACTGTCGCTCGATTTGGAGCACACGTGTTGACACCGATCATACATTTGTATGTGCTGACCTGCGGATGCGTTTTGGCGGACGCCCGCGACGATGTTGTGAGCGCATTGACACCGGCAGACTGGTGAATCCAGCTGTTCTGAAAGCCTATCAAATTACACTGTCATCCGAGTTGGATAAACGTTCAAAGGATGCAATTGAAGCTCACTGGTCTCATATGCAACGGGCCATACTAGCAGCAGGCAAATCCTCATTTGGTATGTCTAATCGCCAACATGAACATTGGGTCTCTTCACAGTCTTTGGAACTTATAGATGCTCGCCGGCATATTCCGGCTGGAAGCGAACACAATGAAACTCGCAAAGAGCTCCGGGCAAAACTCCGTGCTAGCCTGAAGAGAGACCGCGAATCCTGGTGGTCTGGTCGTGCAACAGAGATGAAAATGGCCGCTGCCCTTGGTAATCATCGTGAGTTATTCCGTCTTATATGGAAAAGGAGCAGCAGGAGACCTGGTGTTAGTGAAACTATACGTGACGAGAGTGGACAGCCTATCCACAACTTATCAAAACGCCTGGAACGTTGGGCTGAGCACTTTGAAAGACAATTTAATCGGTCGGAATTGTTAGATTTCTCGCTGACTAGTGATCGCCCTGCTCCGTTGGCTGTTCCTTTGGATCCACCCTCTCGCTCAGAAGTCGAACATGAGATCAAACTGTTGAAGTTAAATAAAGCCGCGGGACCTGGTGACCTTCCTCCAACCCTCTTCAGATTCGGGGGACCTGCTCTTGTGGATGATTTACACGAGTTACTAGTCAAACTGTGGGAGCAGGAAACTGTCCCAACCGATTGGAGTCGCTCCATCACAGTCCCAATTTTCAAAGGAGCCTCACGATCGGTATGCGGCAGCCATATGGGAATCAGTCTGATCTCCATCGCCTCCAAATTGCTTGCCTCCGTCATCCTTCACAGACTGACTGGCATTTGTGAAAGCCAGATTCGCGAAGAGCAAGCTGGATTTCGTCGAGGTCGTGGCTGCACTGATCACATCTTCACCTTGCGTCAGTTGTTGGAGCACCGTCACATATATTGGCGGTCCACCATTGTCGTGTTCCTCGATATCAAAGGTGCATTCGATTCGGTGGATAGACATGCACTTTGGGACTGTCTACTCAGGAAAGGTGTGCCCGAGAAATATGTGAATATTATCAGAGCATTATATGCGGGTAGCTCGGGCAGAGTGATGGCTTACGGCATGTTGTCGTCGCCCTTTAATATCTCCAGCGGCGTGAGACAAGGATGCCCGCTGTCACCTTTCCTCTTCAACTTCGCTGTTGACGAAGTCATGGAAATCGCGTTCACAGGGCACCACTTAGAAGGTGTGGAGCTACTCCTGGGAGAACGACTTCTTGACTTAGAGTATGCTGATGATATTGCCCTGATCGGTGACACCTCACAAACGTGCCAAGCGGCACTGGACAGATTAGCAATAGCTGTCCGTCACTTCGGGCTTTGCCTCGCACCCTCAAAGTGCAAAGCGTTTCTCCAAGATTGGTCTGGACCGCCTCCTACGCTGACCCTTGGTGGGGATCGGCTAGAAGTCGTTCAAAAATTCAACTACCTGGGAAGTTGTATCAGCGCCCGTGGGATTGAAGATGAAATCACGAATGGTTTAGCAAAAGCTCGGGGCGCTTTTGCTAACCTTCGCCACTTATGGTGCCGGCGCGACATCACTCTTGCCCTGAAGGGTAGAGTGTACAATGCAGCAGTACGTTCGACCCTACTGTACCGTTGTGAAACCTGGCCCCTTAAAGCAACGGACCAGAAGAGACTAGTTACGTTCGACCACCGGTGCCTTCGTAATTTAGCTCACATTTGGTGGGAACACCGCGTGAGCAACGAGCGTGTTCGACGCCTTGTTTACGGCACAGGAAAAGGAAATGAACCGCCCAGCACCGTTATTTCACGCATCAGGCTCCGATGGCTCGGCCACGTGTTACGCATACCAGCCCACCGACTTCCGCGACGTGTGTTGTTTGAGCGCCGGGGTGTGGATGGAAGAAGAGGAGGGGTGGCCAAGCGATGACTCGGTCGAGAGGAATGAAGGCCCTCACTTCTGAGCTGGCCTCGGTTGGAGCGTCTCGGCTCCCTGGTTGGGGTCCGAAAGACGATGAACACGTTTGGATGGATACACTTGCTGATATGGTTAGGAGCTGACCTCAGTGGCCTTCGTGCTGTGAGTTTCTTTGTATTACTCTATCCCTCTTAGCCTCCCCTTCCAACCACGATCCCATTATTTAGCCTTATATAATTTTGCATATTAATTGTTTTTTTGGGTGCAAAGCAGCCGGCAAGTAGCTTACTGGAACGATGCCCATCCGTTACCGGTAGCTCAGCTAGCTTGCACCAATTGCATTTTTTTCTCCTTTTTTTCTCTGTATTGCGGCACAGTAGCTGAGGTGTTCCCCACCTCTAGCTAACGTGTATGATGACGATGATGAATAGTGGTCAGTTGTGAGGCTCGTGCGAACAGGGTCTGGCACTGGGTACTGGGATTGATTACCTAACATGCCAACTCTAACTCATGATGTCCCTCTGTACAGGCTGGAAGCTCTCTAAGGAGTCAAGATTATGCAACTTATGCTTTCATGGCATATCAGTCGACCTGCCAGTATGACATGCTCTCCTTTTTAATTGCCGGAGATTTTGAATGAAACTAGCAAGTTCATAAAACCCATTGTTTCCCGTCAAAAAATCAACCGATTCGCATAGAGTTTTTCCCCTGTAGTTTCTGTCTTGTTTCGCTTTCATGCTGCAGTGGAGGCTGCATCATTGCGGCAACCTGTGGATGCCTTTCGCAACAAAAGGTAAAATGTTCACGTGGCAAGCCCACCTTTAGGACATGGAGCTCACCACTTTGTCTCATTGTTCTCCGTTAATGCTGTAAGCAGCACACTTGCGTTTCTTCCTCCTTTTTCGTCATTTCAGCTGCCCCTAACGAACCGAAAAACATAGAACTGAGTGGAACCACCGAGGCACTAAAGGTGAGCTGGACGAAGCCGGACACCTTGCAAGAGACCACTGACACCGACATTTTGCTCGTGGATGGACGAGGTGGTTCCCGCACATATTGGGCTCCTGGTGATGCTGACTCATTTGTTCTTCAGAACCTACTCCACGACCTGAATTACACTATCCTCGTCTCCTTAGGCAACGCATGTGGTTGGTCGCAATTCAGTAAAAGAACCTTTTCCTTTGACTCTAGTGGGGAGTTGGTCATTGCTTGAAGCTTATGTAAAATCTATATCACTAAACCTGTGTAGCCGTACACTTTGTCCGTTGCTTTCAGTTAACCAAAATTCCAGATACAAACTTTCTAATTTTTCTATGCTTATCATATACTTGTTAACTCCCCGACTATTGTCTATCAAGAAGGTGAATTTAGGCTGTTCAGAAACGCTAACGTGACAACAAAAATTCAACGGATCAGTAGTAGATGATACTTTCAATAGACTGCCAGCAATACAAAAATTATCAATAGGTTTCAGCCAATTAAATTAGATACTGTGTGACCAGATTCGGTCAGTCAGCAACCACATAGCTGGAAATGAACTGATTGGTTACCCCTTCTTTTGTTGACTTAGCGCTTGCGCTAATATTTTCGAGACCTACGGGGCTCGAATTCACAACTGTTCTCTCATCTGCACTTACCTAACCCACCAAGCTACGGGTAACGGAGCTGCGATATCACGAGCAACTCGTGTCATAAAACGCATCTCATTCTCAGGCACGATTTATACTACTGCTAGCCAGAGAACATGGCTGGCTTCCTGACCTACGACTTCGTCTAGTGAATCGCAAATATTTTTATAACATTACTACCCAACTAGTGTGGTCACCAGTTGCTGGAATGCACCGCGTTTTCCCGGTAGATGAGTTACGTCATGTCTTAGACAATGGCTGTTAAAAGTTGTCCACCATCATGAGTCTTGACTTAGTGGATATAGTCAAGGCATCAGTACAATCTTCCATGATATAGACCATTTAATTTTGATTATCTACAGCTTCCAACTGAGTAGATATTACACAACCGCCCGTTTACTTTCCGGATAGGTGATGATGGCGTAGTTGAACCACAAACAAGTAACTGCAGAGAAAAATGATTTTCTCACGGGTCCTAAGAAAGAAGTTAGTAAAGTACTGTCCTTTAATTCAGTGCCACCTTTGGTGGCATTTCAGGAAAATTAGGTCTGAGGACAGTAAACATGTACGTTAAACAACAGTAACGTGAAAGGTAGTTTGCAATGAACTGCGCTGTCACAGACATCTAATGAATCGTATCGGATGCTTACCTTTTCGAGTTGCCTACTGGTAACTACCCCTCCCTGAAGTGCGAGGGATGTGCGGTGGATCCCATTTAACTCTTTCTAACTAAAAAAGCAAATATCTGATTTCCCTCGTAGCTGGGACACTCAGTTGTGTGCGTTTGGGCGAAACAAGTTACACCGGGAATCTACAATAATTAACCATAACCTCTTGCTTACCTCAGTCTCGCAGTATCATAAACTGCAGTTTCATGATAACCCGTGTACGGAGCGCCAAACCGTCATTCACTTGGAAACTTCGGACCGATCATAGATCTTGGAACCATGTAGACCTGTCACAATTTCCCTGCTTTTTTAACTTATGTTCGGCGTAGTAACTATAGCCACGTACACTCTGCGGACATAAAAGAACGTTGATGCACTGCTCAACTAGGATGCGTTATGGACTGCTTTGACTACAAGAAAAGGCATTGTTACTAACAATTGTGTGACATGAACCCACTTAGGTTAATGGTACAGTAACTGCATCCCAACGGCCTTTTGGGCATACTGTCTTGTGTTACTTACGAAACAAAGCTCATTTAAGTCAAGTGGACCAGCACTTTGTTGAATGAGCGGCCATCATGAAACAGTTCACGTCTAGCCGACTCTCGCCTTAAGTAAGCAGATTTTTCAGCTCGGTGTGTGACAGTGATAGAATTGCTTTATCTAAAAATTGGAGAATGAAATCGAGTCAGTTTTCCTACCGAATGCCTCCGCAGCGTCATTGTGGTGCTGCGATCTCACGGATCCGTCTAGCGCTGTCGATTGTGTCAAAGTAAGTAGGTACCGGCTTCAGATCTTCCACAAGAAGGATGGATTGATTAGCTGCATTGCTATGCTCGTCAAGGCTCGTGGGACAGTGATATGAGTTATTCGATGCTCCGGTTTAGGATGGGTCTAGTGCCAGTAGCCGACGCCCATACCCAGCGCTGTATGCCGTATTGATGTTTGCTGGTTCAGGCCAGGTTACAGTAGCCTTCTTGTCATGAATGTAACGACGATGTGGTGCCCAACAAATGTAAGATTTAGTGCTCCATTGCTATCAGCGAAAGAGATCTCACTATCCTTTAAGTTTGAATGGCGGGCAGTTAAGCAGCCGTCTAGTTGATTGGGTCTGTTTGTAGCAAGCAGTAAAACAAAGGGAAAGACATAACCCAAAGGGAAAATTTCCAAAACTTTGTGTCTTAACATCTTTTCTTTGGGTGCCCTTCATTTGGGACTGCAAACAACACTTCCTGTGCTTTGCTTTTTTAAAGGACATAGGCAGGCCGATTTACCGAGCTTTTGCGGAAGCGTACACATCCGGCAAGGCTCAAATGATGTGTTGATTTCCGCCAGCGGCTATCGTGCGTTTTAGGATAAATTTATGCGAAAGCAATTGTACTGATACACGCGCAGTATAGCGGTGAATCTGTACAGCACATGCTTCTTGGTACTTTGGGAGCTCACGGTAGGATGGTCAGTTTGATGTTGGTCAAAATGTCTTAGCACTATTAGATGAATAGAATGAAGAGTAAATGAATTGCCGGTGAAGAAATTGGCACCATTCGCCGTAGTTGTTGCCGGTGTCAACGTGATAAAAGGCACACATCCTGATGGCTCGGAGAGGAAGTATAACCCATATGGCCATTGTAACGAATGAAATGAGTGGCTGTAGCGGCGAGACAAGTGCCATCTATACTTAAGTCTATTTGGTGGTGCCAAAAGGGTTGTGAGAACCAATATGAGTTGGCACTGCAAGAAGCATGTGTCGCATGCTAGACATCAGTGGCTACAAAGGGCTAAAGTATCATACCTGTGGAGGAACCTGGTTAAGTTATTTCGAATACCACACCATCCCCCTTCATCTTGAAGGTGTACACAGATATAGACGTCATGCCGCTTGACAACAAAGCGGCTCTTCAGTGGAGGAATTTCTGCGCTAGTAAATGCAGAGACAGTTTAGCGGTCGCCGAACTGCATGCGGGCTATAACTGTAAGATAACTTGCACTCCGTCTCAATGTGTTTAATGCAAATCTAATGGTTACGACAAGTAAAGCTAAACGAGAAGTGGTTTTTCAGCTTCTATGATGATAATCGGGTTTGAGTACCAGGTTTGAAAGTTTGTGGAATTTATTACTTTATCTCCATTGCTATCATTTCAGTGATAAACCTGTAATGTGTGATGATCGCAGTCCATGGCTAATGGGCTAGACATTATCCAAGATGGTTACGTGCCCTACGTCAGGTACATACTCAAGCTGAATACGACTCTATATTCAGGTAGGTCTAACCGGGTTAGATTTCGAACACAGGGTTTGCTTACTACCATACCACGGAAGCCAGGTGATAAAACTTATCCTAGCCGCTTGGAAAAGCAGGACGATTCTGTCTACGTACGCATCGTGACACGTTCAAGGGAAGTCAGTAAGGGATATATTGAATAGTGGTGTCAACACTCAAAAAGCTTCGTAAGTATGCTGATGGAAAGCCCATTGTAAACGAAAACATGAACTGATTAGAAATTGGTGAATCTATCGATCGTCCCTCATTCAAAAGCACTCCACTCCACTCCAACTTATCTCTCCAGACAGAAATAGCGGGCATGTGAACCTGGGATCTTCGGAATGTTGCCCGAGAACTACCCATAAGCCAAGGAATCGCGATGGATAATGCCATTTACAACAGATGGACACCACTCTACATATTCGCCTACTTCTACTTAGTTCATGCCTTAGTCCATAATGCGTTTTCACGAGCCAAATTACAAAATTTCTTAACTGTTGAACCCCCCACTATAACTTAATCCTTATTGAGTTTTCTCCAAGATGTCAAAATGCATAATCAGACAGTATTCCAGGATTACCACGCGGGTTGGAAAAGTATTACAACTTGAACTTTGGGGTATGGCAGTGCGGAAGCCTAGTGTTAGAGATCCAAGCTGGTTAGACGTAACTGAATTTTCCAGCGCTGGAAGTGCTCAGCACGTGTTAGTTATCTGTTTGAAATAAGATATGTTGTATCATCAATCAAAGTCCGAGTCAGACAAATGACAGTTCAGATAGAGATCACTCGTCTAGTTGATATTCCATTGGGATACCTATGTCTAGAGCGACCCCTGTTGTTTTGTAGAGCCAAGTTTCCATACTGCTTAACTGACCCCAATATCACGAAACGCATATAGGTCACTTAGAGAAAGATGTGTGGGATCAACAAAAGGCATCGGGAGCCCTTGAGTACGCAGATGATGATCCGCTAGATTTGAGCAATTCAGTATTTGCTTTTCTGCAAAAAGTTATATGTCTCATCTTCGGATTAATGGGGTGAGGAATA